TCTTGGAAGGAAGTGGAGGACACTATTTCTTGTCCAGCTGTCCGTCCGAAGGTCAAGAGAATGGCAGTGATTTACTTGGTGCAAATATATGGCAGGAGTCTGTTCCAGACTCTAGTTGTCTTCTGCCAAAGCTGTCTCTGGCACAGGATGGGGTATTTTGGAAACACTGTCCGGTGTTTCTGCGTCCGCGAACCAAAAGGAGAAGCGGCCATGGAGGATGATGACAGTGGCAGATTGAATTAGTATTCGAATGCGCCCTTTGTTTCCCAATTCAGTGAAACAGTCCCGCATTCAGTTCAGTTTAGGCGCTGAAAAACGACGGAGCCGTTAGCTGGATAAATAATCCTTTAAACAATTAGATGCAATGACTCGTTGCGCAAACGACGCGTCAATCCTGTCTCAAAAATTGACATGTTATGATTTCCGCCCACCTGGTGAGCTACAGTTGGGGGTACGACATCGTACTATACACGATTAAATACCATTAGGGTTCACAATGGCTGTGCAAGATCGAGGGAGGTAGTGCAGGGTAATACATCATACTGTCGAACTCCTGAACAGAAAAACCCGTTTAGTGACTGCCTACCGTCCTAAATGCTTCTGTCTTCATATGATCTCTTCTTCTGTTCCTCATTTCGAAATTTTTTAAATTTAAAGTTGTAGGTGAGCACTGCCAATACATCAACTACTGTATCGTCGGAGAACCGTGTCTGAATGGTGGCACTTGCGTACCGGAAGAAAATAACTACAAATGTTTTTGCAGCTCTGGCTTCACGGGTCATGACTGTCAGGATGACTTTGACGAATGCCAGGAACACCACCCATGCCTGAATGGCGGAACTTGTCTGAACTCCTTCGGCTTTTATGAGTACGTCAAACTGTGTCGTTGCCTATCGTTATCGATTGATGAGCGTTATTTGGATGGGTGTGATACTTGTCATGCATAGATGTGTGTGCGAAGCCGGATTTTCAGGGGACGACTGTGGAGAGCTGGTTTACGACCAGTCAGCTCGGTTCTGTCATAACGGAGGTGTTTATGTGCCTTTCCTGCGTACACATAATTGCCTGTGCAACGAAGGTGCGTACGAAAACGAGGTTTCCCAATGTTACGCTTCATGCTTAACTTGTTTTTTGAGGGTTCACAGGTAGGATGTGCGAGGTGAACATCGACGACTGTCAGCGTTTTGATGGCTGTGAACATGGAGGGACGTGCGTTGACGGAGTAAACTCCTTTTTTTGCTTGTGTTCCCCCGCTTTTACGGGAAGAGTGTGTGAACTGGATGTCGACGAATGTGAGCTAGACCCTGGACTGTGCCAGAATGACGGCACCTGTTACAACAAGTTTGGCGATTTCGAGTGTGCATGCGTAGCCACCTGGGAGGGCAGGTACTGCGAATTGAACGTCGACGACTGCAGAGACGTGATATGCACAAACGGCGGTTCCTGTCACGATCTCATTGGTCAGTTCGAATGCGAATGCCCTTCTGGATTTACCGGTATGTGATATTTGCCTTTGGCCATAAACTTTTTTATACTATTTCGCTGCTGTCTTTTCTTCAGGCATGATCTGCCACCTGCGCGATTGGTGCGTCTACGATAATCCCTGCTACGGCGACGCGCTGTGCTCCATGGATCCGGTGTTCGGCGACTATCATTGCACCTGTTCCACTTACTACGCCGGTGTTAACTGCTCCGAACCCCGGTGGCTAAAAAATGCAAGTTTGTCCGTGGAAAACCGCTTAATGTTTCTATAGTGTTTTTTTTCTTCAGAATTCAATGTCTCCAATCTACTAAAAACATTTGATATGTACAACGCTCAAATCCGGTGAATCTAGGGATGGAGGTGAATTTCAATAGCCGGATGCGAGTTTTGACAAGAAGGTAGTTCTTGAAATATTTTCCATCATATTTTCGATATTACGGTTTCATTTCATGTGTGTTTATGTGAAAATTGAGTGAAGATTTTTTCTGTAGCGCAAGCTTTTATTTGGAAATTGCATTTTTTCACACATGAATAATAATCAATATACAAAATTGCGCAACAAGCGAACTTCTGCGCAGAACAGTCTGTAGAAAAGACCCTACAGTGGTGTCTCTGAAATACTTTATAACTAGCTGTCGCTGTGTCTACCACAGAACAACAGGAAAATATTACAGGTGTGCTGTGTATAGATTCAAACAGAATTCAGAGGATCAGCTTATTTCATTCTATTAGTAGATTGCAGTAAATTTCAAGGTTATAAATCATTGTTGCGGCAATGGGCAGGGCACGTGACAAAAAGAACCGACAGTCGCGGGACCAGTCATTAGACTGCTTAAAGAGAATAAATGGCCACTAGGAAGACCTGTGGCTTAAGAGCAGGGGATGAGATGTTAGGTAGATTGAGACGGATAAGTATCACAGAAGACAAAAGTTTATGGCAAAGTCCTGGAGGGGCCTGCATTTAGTATGAGATCGTAAATGGCTGATGATTATGAGTAAATCATTGATCGACGTAGCTGTTCCCATGGTAATTTGAAGCAAAGAGTGACGGTAACTGCGGTTTCTCTGCTGTGATGCTGCCTAACTAATCTGACAAGATTGACTTCCTCGCTCGACTGTGGCTGTTCATCAGTAAGCTTTAAACACACATTCGGTAGTCGCGGATTTGAGAGCCGGTCGAATCACTCGTCCTTCTTGACAGTGAGGTTACTAAGCGATTACTAACTGATGGGAAAGAAATGCTATATTAGCCGCCCTACTGTAGACGTAGCGTTAATAAGAACAATAGACACTATTGGCTGATGAAACGCAGACAGATCTTGCGTTGCACCGTAAGCTTCCAGGAAGGAAGGTTGCCTGAAAATCAGCTCAGTTATGGAGCATGTGGGAAGCTGACATGTCAGCGGTTACAAACTTTCGTTTTATTTCTTCCGACAAAGACCACAAGGAAAGAAATGCTTATAACCGAGTTTTGAACCTCTGACGGCCAGGTGGTGCCATATCGAAATGCTTTCTGCCTCACTAAACAAACTGATCACTTCAAAATCGAACTTTAGTAGCGTCATTAATAGAACATAATTTACATGTCGAAAACAATCTATGACCACTTATTTTTACATGAAACAAACAGCTGTGCAGAACGAATGGAACACCGCGAAGGCATGAATGAAATCCGCCGAGCGAAGGATACAATAAATATTATTGCACAGAAAAAAAAACATATGAATGCCACGGACGCTAAAAGTAGAGAAGGATTTTATCCTTGTTTCCTTCGAAAGAACGTCGCGACCGGGGTTAGCTAATGCCATTGCAAAATCCGAGTGTTCCCCGGCACTTCGAACGGCCGGCTTTACAGAATGGGTGAATTGAATGTGTGGGTGTTGTTGTACTGACACGTGGCGTAGGTGTTGACCCCGTTGAACATGGTTGGTGGGGTCATTCCCTGGGACAGCTGTTTCATCCGCGGTATGGCGATCGGACTTTGCTCTCTTCCGCAGCCTATCACTTGGGTGTACGATGGTGCAGGCATGGCGTACGGATAGTTGACGCTCGGGTTGAAGAAGCTAAATCCCCCGCTGGATCCGGATGAGCTGTTCGACGTGGTATTCAGACGACTGAGCGGCGGCGGGTTGGTGCCGATTATGCACTGTACGGCCGGGGGCTTCCAGCTCCAGGCCATGTTGCGCGACACGGTCGAAAACTGTTCGCACATGCGGTTATGGCTGGACGGCCAGTTACTGTAGGACGAGTTGGACGCACCGTAAAACATTGCAGTGTCGTCCAGCTGCGACGGCTGGATCATCATACCGTTCGAGTTGAACTGGTTGGCGAAGTTGGATTTCATATCCGGTATGCCGTGTCTCTCTCGCTTGCGCCACTTTGCCCGTCGGTTCTTGAACCAAACCTGCAAAACAGCATTTGAAAATTTTCACTCAGATCCATCTGTCACTGGGGATCAACATTTCATGCGTGTCAATTCACCTAAAAATACTGTGTTCGAATCAGACTGCGCAAAAGTAGTCCACCGTAGAGGATAATAAACCCTCTGCTCAGCTTCTGCAATAACTGCTGTTCCAATATGTGGGATTTTAGGGGTATACCAAGACCTTGATTGCTGGAAACACTGAACAGCATTTCTTGTTGTTTTGTGGAAAATGGGTCAGTGATAATTGCTTATAATTTTTTAGACCTTAATTTGACATGTCCAATGTCCTGCTAAGCAACTGACTGAATAATGAAGGATTTCGTTGGCGTAAGAGTTAGTTCTGGTGACTAAATTGCTGATTTTGAAAATATCGTGATTTTGTCATCGAAGTATGGACGATGTCCAATATGCCCTAAAGCGAGTTCATGAAGTGACGGCAACAGCGGGACCAATAATTAACTCAGCAAAAGTGAAAATATCTCCCCGGGTTTCTGGAACACGAGCCACTCCCTGTGAAGAAGTCATGGTCCTCAAAGTCATGTCTCATGCATTCTTCCAAATGAACAACCTAAACGTGAAATTACGGCTCTGATTGAAGCAACAAAGGAGCTTCCTTCAAGTCAGCAAGCCTCTGCGAAAAAGGCAGGA